ACTCTGGGTGGACTTGAAAATGATCCCACTTAAAGGGGCACTCCGGGGATTTTTTCGGTGGTGTGTTCTCTTCATGGGGCCTTATATGGCCCCCAAGGAATTGGGAATCGCGAAAACTAGACCCAAAAAGTCGATATATGAAGCCAGGGAGGGCCAAGTTTGTCTCCTCTTTTGATGGTTTTGATGACGTCACGTGTGATTAGTATTCAAATTCTATGCATTTGAAGATCTTAGTTGTTTGAATTTTCTGGTGATGAAGAACGATGTTTGGTCAACATTCCCAAGCTTCACAATTGCGACCATACTCTAAGGAACCTGAAGGACCTCCTGAGGTGCCCCTGGTAGAAGCACAGCCTGATGAGGGCCAGGAAATTGGAGCGGACGACTTCACTGGTCGACAAGGAAATAACGATTGGTGTTCCTGCCAGAAATGTGGGGTGATGCAGAGGGCAGTCGATTACCTTCGCTGTCGAGAGAGCGCTGCAGCTGTTAGCATTGACAGCCCTTTGACATGCGTTACACATCACCCCGACTTTGCGTCAGCTTGTCTAAACAAAACTGTTCTGACCATATGCCTCACGGCGTATAGAGAATTTCGGGATCCTCGTACTCGGACCAGTGAAGTCGTCCGCTCCAATCTCCTGGCCTTCATCAGGCTGCGCTTCTACCAGGGGCACCTCAGGGGGTCCTTCAGGTTCCTTAGAGTATGTCCGCAGTTGTGAAGCTTGGGAATGTCGACCAAATACCGTTCGAACCGTGAATTATTTTTTTATTTTTTATGGTACTGTCTCAAAAGACTAGAGCAAACCCAGTGATAAGCTCAGCTGCGAGAGAGAAATCCAGTCTCCTAAAATCTAACAGAGTGCTAGTAAGCGCAGCTGCCTATATGCAGTACAGTGTACTGTATTCAACGCCAAAGCAAAACCTACTAGGTAATCAACTGCTTACATACATGTAATTCAAGTACTGAAGTCATAGGATCATGCATGCAAATGGTGCAGTAGTGCAAGGGAGGAACTGCGGCAATGGGAAAGAGACCGTTAGTAGATTTACTCACCTGAACGGAGAACCGCTCATCGATGTTGTCAAACGACCGAGGGAATAAATAGAAGTTGAACGAAGTGGCCGTGTACCTATAGAATACAGGCAAACATGGACATGACGACATCACTACATGCCTTGGTGAAGCACAGTACCGGTAGGCGGTAGCCATGATTGCTATGACGACATCACTACATGCCTTGGTCCAAGAGTACATGAAAACCAGAGTGTGCAGCTTGGGGCCTTTTCTGCTATGGGTGTCTGTCACAGCGGAATTCCGTGATTACATCATATTTCGCGCAGATCTGAGGCGGGAAATGGCGTAGTGCGTACAATTGAGCTGCAGTTGTGCAGAAAGGGACCTGCTTGAATCCTGCTTGTACGCACTACATCACTAAAATGATGTAATCACGGATTCCGCCGTGACAGCAACCCATCCGAGCTGCACACTCTGGTTTTCATGTACATGTGGCAGGGAGTAGTACAATACCATCGTACTCCCTGATTGTAGGTAACGGTATTGCACAATACCATCGTACTCCCTGATTGAAGGTAACGGTATTGCAGTCATACTCCCTGATTGTAGGTAACGGTATTGCAGTCGGGCATGTGCCAAGCACAGCAGTTTGGGTATAAACACCAGTTCTCTGTAAGGGGGGGGGGGGGGGGGGGGGGGGCTTGTGCGGATGCTACTGCTGAGATGCCCGCTCAACACATACAGATTAGATTATACCAACAGGAGTATGACATAGTGCACATCTAGTACTGTACACCCACGCAGCATTGCTGCACAAGCCCTCCCTCCACTCATTGGTGTGTATCCACCTGGGGCACTGCTGCACTGCACTGGCTTGGCCGCAGTCACTCAGCTCCATGTCAATACCCACACCTGCACAGCACATGTATTGCGGCACGTGTAGATCTACACAACACTGTACAGACACACTGTATACACAACACTGTATACACAACAGATAACATGGGGCTGATAGCACTGTACAGACAAGCCTCTATAGACAACACTGTATACACAACAGATAACATGGGGCTGACAGCACTGTACAGACAAGCCTCTATAGACAACACTGCATACATATGCTGAGCTACATGTACCTCCGGCATAGCCAAGCCAGAATACACTATGAAAGAAAATCCAACACACACAAAAGTCATGTACATGTCCAATGCGACAACCATATCATGTATACACAGGTAAGCTGCTACTCACTGATTCTTCCAATGATCATTCGTAAACGTTGTGATACCTTAACAACAAACAAAACACGCCACACCATGATGCACATGCACATACACACACACACACGCACACGCACACACGAACAAACATGCACACACATACACAGCAAAGTGAACGGTTACTTCTGCTCGGATTGTTGTCCTATTTTCGCACACTATTTTGTGCAAGCGCTGCTACACAACAGACACCTCCATTGGCCAAAGAAAGAAGTCAGTGATCACAAATATACATGCATATCATCAAGCAATAAACAACGTAGCAGTAAAAAATATAACCACCAGCTTAGGACAGTCACACGATAGCAGGAGTGTGGACACACACATACAGTGTACAGGGTTCTATTGTATAGTATTGTATGGTATTGTATAGTATTGTGGCTGAACACTGCCGATTACTCACCTAACTGACAGACGATGAACTGTTGTACTGACTTCCGTAGTTTAACATAGCGTTTTGCTGGTGTGTCAAACAAGCTGGAGTAGAACACAGTTACACACAGGAACACACAGGAATGCACAGGAACACACAGGAACGCACAGGAACGCACAGGTACACACAGGTACACACAGGTAAGAACAAGCAATACAAAGTCATTACATCAACAACAAAAGTCACACCACACATGCGTACTGGTAGACTGTTTGCTGGGGGGGGGGGGGGGGGTGGAAGTCAGTACTTTGAACTATCAACGGGAACCGATAGGGGCTAAGGCTGCGACTGCATCATTTGACCAGGTCTGCGGAAGTTGAAACTTACTGACAAGCGGATGATTCTCAAAACAGAACAGTGCACACACGCACGCACACACACACACACACACACACACGCACGCACACACACACACACACACACACACACACACACACACACACACACACACACACACACACACGTGCCCACTCTCAGCATCACCTGCATGCATAACATTCTAAACGGCAACCTCACATAGGGCCCCGGGCCCCGTGTGTGATTAGGCTCTGCTCTGCAGTGCTGACAGGTTACCGGTTACTCTGCAAACAGTAACCTCACCAGCAACACAAGATTCCTTTCCAACGACGACACCAGAGCTTACAAGCAGGAAACTGGTGGTGCTGATCCATGACAACTTGTTATATTAGGTACAATGAGATAGAAGACAGCGGTGCTGATACATCACCACTCGGTGTGACATTACAAGTCGAGACTGGTGCAAACACTGCCAGGTGAAGTATGTGTGACATGGTGCAATATGGTGTGAAGTGGTGCAATGTGTGTGAAGTTGAGCAACATAGTGTGAACAGGGAGCTGGTGGACTGCATGGCGGCAACAGGCTAAAACTAGTGGTGGTCAATTCTTCAGCCTTGCAAGCTGCTGAATGGTGTAATCCCAACACAAGCTGCTATGTCTAACGTAGCGTGTTCGCTATCATCGCTTCAACGATGGGCATGTGTAAGTGTTAGTGTAAGTAAGAGATAACTGACAGCGCGACACAGCTATAGCAACGGTGTGAATACGGTATACTGTGACTAAGGATGATGTCATCGTGGGTGGCCTTGTGTAATGTGTAGCCATGCTGTGACGATGTGCCTGGATATCTCGCCTCATTCCATGGCTTCGCACTTCGGTGTAGAGCAGCAGCTATTCTGGCAGCTGAGGCCACCCTGCCTGGTCATACGGTCAGGTCTACAAGCAGCAAAGGCACATACTTTGAAGCAGCGACTTGTAAAAGACAGCGCCAATTCTGAACACAGCTCTGGTATTCTACTACTCCCTGCTTTCAAGTACACATGTACCTCACCATACAGTATATGTTTTTTTGTTTTTTTTCGGGGGGGGGGGGGGGTGGGGGGTGGAGCCATCTATGGCTGTGATCACATCAGCACACATGTTACTGAAGAGTCCACTAGACTTTGCTTCTCATTCAGTCGATGTTTGGGCTTGAGTGGCCACAGTGCGCGGTGTGACCGCACTCGAATATGCCCCCCCCCCCCCCCCCCCCACACACACACTGCTTATTTACATGACCCCGTGAACAGCAGCGGCTGTAAGAAGAATGAGGCATGGCGTACTACATTGTGTACTGGCCTGTGCACATCGGGGCCCGGGGGGGGATGTTTCCATGATCCAGAAGCATGGCCGCAATACATTGGCATAGATGTGATTGGGAGTGTGGAAGGCAGTGTGTTGTGAGTGACAATGGCAGTGTGTTGTGAGTGATGAAGGCAGTAGGCAACACCTCACCTATACTCCTGATCCGGACCACCACAGAGTCCAGTGAATTCCGTGTCTACAGCTGTACATGCAACACCCAAACAACATGAAAATCAGAAGAAAAAATGAACGTTTATAGGAGAGCAAGTCAGGGCCATGTTTCAGAAAGTGAGCAACTATCGCTGTGCTTCTGAATCATGAAATTCTCATGAAACTCAACAGCCTAAAGCAGGATTCACAGAGGGATTTTTGCGATGTGTGATGCGACGGCCGAAAAAGAAGAGAGAAAAAAACGGGAAATCCCAAATCGCATCCACTGTCCAACATACATCTTAACTGACTCACTGATTGCAGAAGTTTTGGTTCGACTTTCGCGGTGCGATGTGTGATTTGGACCTTGTTTCCATCAAATGTTGCATATTAGGTCAAGAATTACTTGTACTTTGTACAAGTTTTACTCAGCTATGTAAATACCAGGGAGTCATACATGCCCACCGGTATTGCACTTTCGATGCAAATCAGGAAATCAACGCTGCTTCATCTGTGAATGGAATACTAGTATCTCAAGTTCCCATCACACTTCGGTGTCACGGATTGCGCCGTAGCCTTACAAGACAGCCTTCAAAGCTGTGCCTTCGTTATGGATGGCAAGCCATATCTTCTGTCCCACTGCCTTTATGGAAAGTAGCTGTCTGTATCCCACACCTTGTCCTGTCCCATGGGAAAGTCCATATCTATCAGGCAAAAAGGAACTCTGGGATCTGACAATGCACTCCTCCGTGATGTTGGCCAAGATGTGTGTGCTGAGCCCACTCCCCAACCCCTGGTGAGACTCTCCACATCTCAGTCAGTAGGACATGAAGATGGTGCCTGATTGGGACGTGACAGTGAGTGGGTGCTTCATAAGGTGCATACCTGGGCGTATGTGTGCTTAACCCAATTGCTGCTTTAAATTCGTCCTCTCCTCTCTGCCATTATTCTCGACATGGCAAGGAGGAGAGGCAGAGATTCAAATAGTATACATGTAGTTCCACTGTTGGACAGGAGCCGATTGTGACTATTGTCCCTGCAGTTCTGCTATGTGCCTGCAGATAACCTGGTCAAGGCAAGGCTACATCAGCCCACTACCGGTATCCACATCATGTATACTCTTGCTACACACTCTAGCTACACACCGGAAGAAGACAACACACCCTGTAGGCATGGGGGCATGGGGCGCTGCACTGCACCCAGTGTAGATCTACAGTAAACTTCCCTGGTTCCGGGCAGGTTATCACCGAGCACAGCCCATAACTAGGAATTGCCTGAGACTTGGAACATACATACTTACTGCATGCAAGTACACTTTTTTTATGCCAATCAATAGTTTTTGGGGGTCGTTTTTCGTTGTAACTCTAGATGGGTCTGAACAAGAGTACATAACCCTGGGGTCTGATACGTGCCGGATTAGCGGCGTCCAGATTAGAGTTTTACTGTTCTTGTGAAGTCTCCTGTGACGTATGCGAGATGAAGAAAACGTACAGTGTTCATGTACAGTCAAGGGAATTGTCAACAATTATCATGCACCCACTTTGAAGTAAAGCCTGACTCACTGTCAGGTAATATAGAATTTCTGGAATGGAACATATTAATATTGTGAGTTCATCACTGACATGCCATACTCGTACATGACTGTACATTTTCTTCTGACTGATCCCTTTCTATGATATTGGTCATGCGGAATTTCACAGCGTACAGACAAAAATATGTTAGTACATAATTACACTTCTCACCTACAAAGCTGCACTCGTCGATCTTCTGATGAATAACAGGTAAGAGATCACGGAAGTTCGCACGAGTTACGTCCATTAGAGCTGTTCAAATCCAAATTCTCGAAAACACAGTAAAACTGGACAGGGGCAGCTTCACACTTTGAATCTGAGGACAAGAAAATCCCCTTGATGTCATGAAAATGCTGAATGAATGTGATGAGTGCACTTTATCTATCTATATCCAAATTCCAAGGTTCCAATGCAAAAAATCAAATTCTCTTCTCATCCACTCTTCTTGAAGGTTCTTGACGTATGCAACAACAGCACGGCTTCTACTGTAAATGGCGTGTGGCTTAGAACACTGTGCACCTTCTTCAAACTTTCAAAGTCAAAATGTCACAACAACTACCACTGTTAGTGTACATGTACCGGTACATCCTGATCCATGGACTTGCAGTTGCAAAACTCTTTCAGTTGTTTGTTTGAGTGAGCCACGTGCACCAGTGGTGCACGCTTTGTGCGTTTGAATTAATTTTATTTTTTAAATTCATGTAAACTGTTGTCTGCATTTCTCTCTCTTCTCGAGCTCTGCTGCGCTGACATGACGTCTCGTACTCTGCATTTAATAATAGAGAGGTTCCGCATAACGTAATTACGTTAGTAAAAAACGTAGTCGATCTACGGAAAGTCTTACGTAAACTGCATGCGCATCTGTGTTCCGCCATACGGAGTTTTCAAATCACGTAGCTGCCCTTGGCAACTCCGAACGCGGCAGTGTACGACCAGATCGATCTGGGAAGAAAGTCATAAATTTGTACCCCAATCCACTTACGGACCAGCTACGTTATCAGAGCCCTATCTACGTACTCTCCGTAGACAACTTTCCGTAAGTGGAGTGCAAACTCGCGAATTCACGGGTTTTCCCCGCCCACTAACGTAAAGTTGCTCAACTTTACGTAGTGCGGAACCTCTCTAATATTTTGAAATTCGTGCAAAAAGTGCAATGAGCAGGGAGTCGTAAAATACATTATAGAATAGTAGTCAAGAGTAGTAGAATTTATTATTTTGATAGGGAAGGCCCTACAGACGTTGCCGTCTTGTTACAGGGAACCCTAAGTGCTCTTTACAGAGCGAAACAAAAACGGATAGACATACGACTCCCTGGCACTGAGCATGAGTCAAATAATCATGATACAGTAATTGCAAAGCAAATTTATTTGAATTTGATACTGTTGATCGATGGCATGGTCAGAAAAAGAG